TATGAAGCACTACTCACCGAAGAGAATGAATGAAGAGTTGCGCAAGACCTTGGACTGATTGAAAAGCGCTCATGTGCGAGACCGAAAATTCTGGGTTTGATTCCCGCAAGCGGAGGAGATCGTGAGTATGCACTGTTGATGAGTCCTATACTAAGACAAAACGGCCGTCCAGTGCGTCCACATTTCTTTCCAGTGATGGTTTAATCATGATCTATTTCCCTGATTTCAATATGATTTTCATCAACATCACACTTATACGTTTTTCCCATCTTCAAAACCTATCATCATCATCATCATCATCGTCATCATAATGCGACCTTTTTTTCCCCAATATCCGGAATACTCCTACACACACACACACACACATTTCTACTCTTCTCTAAAGACGGTTATTATACAAAAAAATAAGGCAATCTAAAATATTGGTGAATTGATAAGAGAAATAAAATGAATAAACACTCATCACATCATCATCAACATTAATACGGTGCTAGTCAACCACACACACACACACAGACATGCATACAGAGACACAAACTAAGTGCACTTATCCAAACTTATTCAATTCGTCAATGTTCAATTGCGTATAGAAGAAGATGTATTTTCCTCTTAACTTGACTATTTTATTTCAAAAAATTGCGCTACTTCAAAATTTTTTTTCAAAAGAAAAAAACAAGTAAAGGATTGAATTTTTTTTCCCGGAAAAAAATTTCTTATTCAAAAATAGAAAAAGTATCTAACTATTGTCGATCATAATGAGAACAAGCGAGTGAGAGAGAGATGCATTGAAGCAGGAAATATTCATTGAGATGACGCAATTTCATTCATACATGTATACACGCATACACACACACACACCACACAACCACAATGAATCAGTTTGAAGTAGAAAAAGACAGAAATAAATATTGTAAGTTAGTCAGTCAGTCAATCAGTAGTCTCTAGACTGAAAGATGGGCAATAATGATTGAAAAAGGAGATCATGTATAGAAAAAAATAGACTTTGTTTTGCGTTTTTTATACACTTCCTCTATTCAAAAATTAATTCATTTCCGATTTATATAGTAATAGTAATAATAATGATAATAATTTTTATTCTGTCTAGATATGTACCACGTGAATATGGTGATAAGTTCGTTTATTTATTGTGAAGTGTGGTTAGAAGTGAGTGAGTGAGGTAATGTTATTTCCTCCTTATCACCATTATCTATACATATTCATAAGGACCTAGGAATGTCTGGCAAGAATGTATGTGAAATGGGATAGTTAGATTTGTATTCTAGTAATTGAAAAATGAGCTTCTAAAAGCTCACTCAAATTAAACTATCCAACGACTACTAGTGACTGTTACCAGTTACGAATCCAAACTGGTCTTCACAAAACACAAACAAACAAGAAAATACTGACTATTGTTAAGCGGTATAGAAAGGAGTTGATTGTGAACAAGTTGATTTTCTGTGCAGTTACAAGTATGAGGGTGGATGTCACTTCCCGGTCACACACTGTGGAAGCGAAATTCTTGAGGAACCTGTAAAGGAAGTAAGAGTAACGTTGGTCTTAGCAACCCGGGAGAGTGACTGCACAGCCCGAGAAGCAACTTACTGAGGCTGGTCACACACGGCTTTTTTATGGGTAGTATTTAAAGTGTTAGCTCCGCTCTTCAAATGGACTTAACCCCTGGACATGGAAATCCGTGAAGCAAGGTGAGGTGTGACATTTTTAGGGTCGACGTTTTCTAACCCCTCTCTTACTTGTGAGAAGGCAGCATCGCTGCAGATGCTGGTTGTCTGAGGGTAACACCTTACTGCCATCACACCCCTCTACAGTCAGAAGTATAGTTTCGCTTCAAGACCTCAAGTTGCAGCTTTTAGTTTCACCGTTATCCAATCGACCTGCCAGGCTGGCATGGTAGGACCTGAAGGAAAACATGTTGCAGCCAATATAGCTCGGTTGGGTCATCATGATAGGCAAGTCAGATCACCAAGTCAAGGTAGCAGCTACGGTCGGGAAATACTGACCATAGTGGAAACTGAAAAAAGGAACTCCTTTAATTTGACTCATTTGTAAGGATTGTTGAATCTGCCTACTGATCAACGAATGCAATTATACATCAGTTTCTATTAGCATATGTGCATCCTGTGCGAACTGTCTTGCTGAAGTCATTAAGTCACAACGATTTCTTAAACAGAATTGAATGAGGGCTACCAATGAAATCAGGAGTGCGTTTCATCTTACTTGGGACTCATTGACTGAATGTACCTGGACTTCAGTGTTGATGTTCAATGTACGAACTCGAACCAAATACATTTTTGCTTGATATTCCCAATGTGTTACCTATTCAGGCCGTCCGGGTCTCGCGAGCAGACGCTTAACCTCTAAACCACTGAGTCGACATCCAATCATGTTAATATCTTGCTTCAAACAATCCATGATGTGACACAACCATTAGATATTGACTCACTCGCGAGACCGAGAGTTCAATTTTAAATTCTTGTGTGCGGAGGTCATGGGTGCGCACTGCTGAGGAGTCCCATACGCGTACGGAACGGCCGTTCAATACTTTCAAGTTATGTACGGTGGTCTATGAAAATAATGCCAAATCATAACACAAAAATCTTGTTAATTAAAAAAATCCCTATCATCAGCAAAAAGCTTACAATATATACATATAAGCATGATATACTCTTCCATTGATATACTTGAAACTATTACGAATGTCAGCTTACCCGGTGAACGGACATATGATGCAATGACACAATAGACCACAATTTATCAACCAATGACAATCAAGGCTTTTCCGAGTGAGAAATGTAAGCTCACAAGGTCAACAACTAAGCAACTTAACTTAAGCACGAAAACATGAAAAATCCAGAATTAAGACCTTTTCCAAATGAGTTCTGGGGATTTAACATTGGCAACAAAGCACTTAGCCGATCTAATTCCATTCCAACCCCCCCCCCTCCACTCTTCACCTCAACATAAATACACAAACAGAGAAATATACAGTATAAAACGTATCAATAAGATAACTACTACTGATTCAGTCGTAGATCAGCATGACATCAGAGCTTGAGTGTATACACGCACACACACACACAAAGAGAGAGAGAAACACATGTTTACACTGAAGCCATATAGTATTGTCATCGTCATCGTCATCCTCGTCATCTACTTGACCAGATAAAACGTATAAGTAAAATAATTTAATTAATTATACAAAGAATAAATGAGATAGCGAGAGAGAGAGAACAACGGAAATGTTACACAAAGCGAAAATAAAAGAAAATTAGATTAGAAAATTTTTCAAATGAAAAGAAACAACATGTACGTAATATGTTTATTTCCTTAATTTGCTCTCTCTCTCTCTCTCTCACACACACACGCACAAACATGTAAACAAACAAGGTAGATTAATCAAAGGAGAGAGAGAAACGAAAAAGCCATTTCCCATTTGATGAATCCCCCCGCTTACACACACTTCCGATACATTTTTAAATTAAATCAAGATGGCGTGAGAAATTAGTTTTCTAATTACAAAACAAAACAGAGTGTTATGTTCGTCACTAGCTGCGCTTGAAGCTATGACGAGTTCACCTTAGTCGATAAATGCGAACGAGACAATGAACCAGTGTCCAGATAGGCTACCTTGAATCCTAAACTGCATAACAGAAGTCTTTGTAAGCGTAGAAAGTATATTCTACAAACACCCAGCAATCACAATACAATCAAGCACACAACTCTCGTTTATTTATACATCATAGAAACGTCGTTGGGACAGTTACGAAAATAGCACACTAAAATACACAGCAGCCAATCACAGCCATGGATTTTGCTGGTGGTAAATGAAATCTCAAGGTCAATTGATCAGCCCATGCTCGCAAACGTGAAATCCAAAATTAAGGCATTTAACAAACGAGTTCTGGGGATCTAACATTCCCAACACAGAGGCGGACTATAAGCTAAGAAGGGATGGGGATGATAGATGTTGACTGCTAAAAATAGCACAATGAAAGAATCCATGATGTGTTGGTTTTTCTTCACAAAAAAAATATATTTCATCATTATTGCACAGTAGTGATTCCGTGCTCATGATTGATGAATGCAAATATATTGAACATTAGAAGGATTATACAACATGGAGAATTGTTACAATCTGAATAAGTTTTAGTGATAGTGGAGTTTGAAAATATCTCTAAGATTCAAATATGTAGAGTAGACTTGACGAGTTCAGGATTACAATTAAAGATAGATTGAAGTAGACAGTCAGTCAGCTGTACAACGTACAGGTTCGTACGTACGTACATCAGTTCAAGTTACCATACCAAATTAGCACAGAGAGATCGCATTGTCAATTCAAATCTCACTGTAGTAGAGGTAGTAGAAGTATTAGTAGTAATCGGAGAGATTAGGATTCGAAGATATGATTTGAGAAGTATAATTCAATGAGATAAATTTAAAAAGAGTGAAAGATAAAGGTGATGGAGGAATTCAGAAGATTAGTATTTCAGAGAACACAAAGGATGGATGTATCTGCGCCATCACAAACGATTCTCAGATACATCACTCAAAGTCTCTAACCATCGATTACTATTGTCTCGCGGACCTCAACCAGTTAGTCTACACTTACCAACATGGCTTTTGCATTTGTCAGTGACTTCATGGATTTCTGTCATGTGTTGGTTTGACCACCCCTAGCTTTCTTCCAACCTATTCCTACATCAGATAACATCGCTCGTCGAGGCAGTCAGTCGCTGAGCATTAGTAACACATGTCTCAACCACCTCAACTAATGAAGATTCACTTTATCATCAATTGATCTGTCATCCTTACCCTAGTACTCGTCTCTTAACCACAACATTGTTTACTCAACTGTCTCAGGCTAGACAAGCAATACTCCGAAGATATCAATGATCAAATACTAGTAACTTGACTCTTGTTCAAACGAATTAAAGAATGTGTCAAAATGAATGACCACCACCACAACAACAGCAACAACTTACAATTTCGTAAATCTTTTTGATTTGAAATATCTGCATGATCATTATGATTGGTTGTTGACGAAGCAGATCCAAATGTATTGTCATTTGTATTGTATGATAATTTATTTGATGACGGAGATGTATCATCAGAATTATTATTATTATTATTATTATCACTGTTAATAATCTCTTCATTAGATGATGATGATGATGAGGGTAGTAGAGATTTCGACGATTGTACAATAGCTATAGAATATGCATAGAATAAGAGAAATAGAATATATATATATATATATATATATATGTATATATATTTAAATTAGGGTTGAATGTACGTATTCCTATGGCTTCTGCAACGTGTAGGAGACGGGATCGAACTCCGTTGGGAAATGATGGAGGTATACGATAGATCACCCGAAAAGATCTAGATTTATCTACAATGTGACCACTATCTACAAGGTGTGCTAAGATAGAATTGCGTATTGTTTTTAACTGACCCCTCGTAAACCATGTGCTGGGAGATGTTCACTCACTCGTTGTGTAAGTTGCCTGGAAGTACACCCGATATAGCTATCTCCACAGGAGCAGCTGAATTTGTAAATGCACATAGAGGAGGCCAACTCAGGTAACTTATCCTTCGTTTGGATAGACATCGCTGGTCGACTGGAGAATGTCAATGCAAGTTTGGCAGCGTTGAATGTTTTATTGATTACTCTTATTAATCTGTCCTGCAGACTATCGCAGGCCACATCTCCGTTGAATTGTAACTTCATAAATAAAGGCTTCTTTTGACTTTCTCCAGTCGACCAGCGATGACGTTTCTATCTTTGGTATAAATAAGCTTGATTTTTGTGCTTAGACACCTCGTAGTTCTGGGTGTTTGTAGAGTACATTCTCTCTACTCCGTATCAAGACTTCTTGATCTAGTTAGTCGGGGGCTGGGAGAAACGGATTAGAATAGCCTATCGTGTGTCACTGAGTTATTCTTTGTTCTGTTTATGGAGTAAGGTGAACTTGTACTAGTTTCGAGTATATCAATTGACGAGTATATCAATGAAACTTAAAAATCTTCAAAATCATAGATGATGAAAATTATTGAAATCTATCAGACAATACGGATCAATGAACTAACATCTAACTATTTGTGATGAATTCTATCTGCATACTTAATTTTAATCATGTTCAATAATCAAGATTCTAATCGAAAGTTTAAACCATTTTCTTAGAATGTGAAAATTACAAGTTACTTCATTTCATTTCTTAACTTCAAAGGAATTGGAACTCAATGTTGTGCGAACTAGCGAGTTCAACGTGAATATATATATCAACAATATACCCCTTTCGGTCTTCCACATTGTTCAAACATTCCATGTACCTAAAAAAAATGGTTGCTCTGGTTGTTAGAAGGGGCATCGGCCTCGCGACTTCCAAAGCAATTCGGCTTTCATCATGAGATGTCATAACTCTTCTGAATGAAGACCTGAATCCCACGGCACAGTTTCAATAGTTTGAATTGTTTTTTCTGGTTAGCGTTTTTTTAGCGAGTTAGTTTTCTACGAGATGGGGTCGCCAACCCTATGCACAACCCTCTTCCTTTATTCGGGCTTTGGACCGGTTGTAGCCCCAGAGGGGCTCAAGGAGGAGTCAAAACATTCATACTGCATGGAGCGAAAACTTGGAAAACTACCAAAGCAATCATCCAGAAGATTCAAGTATTCATTAATAGTTGTCTACGCAAAATACTTCGACTCCATAGACAAGACACTATCACCAACAACCTAGTGTGGAAGAGAACAAACCAGATTCCAGCGTAGGAAGAAGCGCTAGAATTGGATAGAACACACTCTGGGGAAAGCACCCAAATGCATCAAATGACAAGTCCTCACTTGGAACCCTCAAGGCCAACGAAAAAGAGGAAGGTCAACGAACACATTACACCGAGTAATAATAGAGACAGATATGAGAAGAATGAACAAAACTTGGACATGACTGGAAAGGGAAGCTCAGGACAGAGTAGGTTAGAGAATACTGGTCAGCGGCCTATGCTGCATTGGGGGTAACAGGCGTACCTAAGTATGTAAGTAAGTAATATACGTCTTCTGTCAAAAATGTATGATTTGAACAACTAAAATCTGATAAACTGATATATATATATATATATATATATATATATACAGACAAGGCGAAATCAGATAAATGACTTTACTAGGATCCTGTATGCGCGTTTCCGAGACGCAGCATACATCGATTAAGCGAGATTCGAAAGTTCTAGCTAACATAAAGTACGTACATTAAAAGCCCCAACATGTAGTCTAGAACGGGGTTTCAGGAGACCAGAAATGACGTTTCGTGTTTGTTTGCATTAGCTGTGCACTGTGATAAAGGAATGTGAGAAGAGTTAGTCGTGGAGATAAGAGAGGTATTAGGGGGTGTAGGAAGGATTTGATTTTGAACAATTTGGTCTCGTGTGCTGTTACGGGTATGAGGGCGGTTTTCACTTCCCTGCTGCTCACACCGCGGAAGGGTGTTTCTTGAGGGACCTGAAAAGGAAGATAGATTAGTGTTGGTCTTAGAGACCTGGGTGCGTGACCGCAGAGCCCAAGGGACAACTGCTTCAGGCCGGTCACGCACGACCTTTTTATGAAAGGTTTTTTGAGTATTAGCTCCGCTCTTAAAAGCCCTTAGTGGGCACCCTTACTGACGGAGACGGAAATCCGTGAGGTAGGGTGAGGTGTGACATTTTTAGGGTCGACCTTTTCTAACCCTTCCTTCCTTGTGAGAAGGCAGCATCACTGCAGATGCTGGTTGTCTGAGGGAAACACCTTATCGCCGTCACGCCTCTCTGCAGTCAGCAGTACGACTTCGCCCTCAAACCTAGAGTAGCTGCTTTCAGTCTCATCGTTCTCCAATTGAACTGCCTGCCTGGCATGGTAGAACCTTGAGGAACATATGTTCCAGCCAGTATAGCTCGGCTGGGTCAATATATATATATATATATATACTACATAAGTATACACAGTAATAACCTTGAACAATCAAATGCATGATCGATTTTCTATTGAACACAATGAATATCATGCAATCGGTTCAATGTTCCGTCATCTGTATTACTTTCAACTATAACAGACAGACATGTTAATTATTTTCATAGTGTTGGAACTTTTGTTTTTTTACTCAAACTGATTATCTATCTAGTTAAGAATAATCTTAAATTAGAATAGACGTAACACATCTGATGCAGGAAGAAATATAGATAGATTCATTTAATCCGAAGTTTATGTTTGCGTGCAATGTGCATAGATATGAAAATGTATCATTTTTTAAAAAAAGAAACATTTGAACGGAAAAAAGTGATACATGATAAACTAAAAAGAAATCTCATTGCTATTGCATATTGGTTACTCAAAGGTTATCTGCGTATTAGTTAGTGTAGGGGGATATAATAGTCATGAAATTTTCATTGAAATCATGAATCGATCACTGTTAGAACACAGTTGAAAACCTGGAAGTACTGAAGGGTTGTTTCGTCCTAGCACGGGACTCATCAGTGGCACTGCGCATCCACGAGCCTCGTACGTGGAAAATCGAACCTTGGACCTTCGATCTCGTGCGCGAACGCTTAACTTGTTGACCACTGAGTCGGCTGTTGTGTCATCCAACGGTGTAAATGTCTGACTTTTATCAGTCCAAGCTATTGCTCAACCTCACCATTCATGTAAATGAAATGTTGATCTCAAATAAATCTTATTGACCATATCGTTCTATCAAATCTCTGTATTACTTTACTTTTCCTCTAACAAAATGTGTGTCTGTATTTTTTTTTCCCAACTATTTTCTTTTTTCCTTTCCTAATAATCATTACGACAACCCACAACTGTACTTGTTGTATTCATCATTCCAATTAGATCTTTTCTAATTTGTGTATCCGAAGAAAATTTGATTAAACTTTTAACAGTAAAAATGAGTAATTGTCATAATAATCTTCTTATCTTCCATCAAAATCATGAATCAGTCATTTTTAAACCATTCCATTAGAAACCTGGAATCACTAGACGGTTGTTTCATCGTAGTATCAAACTCATTAGCAGTGCGTATCCACAACCTCCGGCACGCGAAAAAACGAACCCAGGATCTTAGGTCTGGCGCGTGAATGCTTAATCTCTAGACTACTGAGATGACGGTGTTAATGTCTAACTTAGATCAATTCACGGTCTTGTGCAACCTCACTTATTGTCTTCGATGAGTACTGCTTCACATCCGAACACAGTTGAACACCACTGTCACGATTTCTCACTAGATCATTAGATCGTAGGTGTTCAATAGTGAGCACATGATTATTTTCATTACAGGGTTGTAGAGATTGTTGATTTTCATTGAAATCATGCATAGATCAATAATCTCAGACCACCATTAAGAACCTAGTATTGAGCTCATCAGTAGTGCTCCTCCGTGACACTGATTGATTCACAATTTCAATGAAACTTGAAAATCTCAACAATCCTACAAGGAAAATCTTATCTTTAAATATATCCCCTTATCCTAACGACACATTTTTCTATTGTCCAAACCATCGCTGATGGTTATCAAAAGGCAATTTCTTTTAGCTGATTTATCGTTTTTCAAATTGACACACCTATGTATTCCAGAAGAGAGGTTATGTCTAATAAGATAATTGAATTACAAGACAGAAATCTCTGGATATTCATTTGTGATATGTAAACGGAGTCACTGAATAAATAGTTGAATAAAGAAAAGACTACTTACAACACAGTTGTAACTCCGTTTGGAGCCCCTCTGAGGCTACTACTGGTCCTAAGCCCGGATAAAGGAGGGTTGGGTGCATGGGATTAGCTATCACATCCCGTAGAAAACCAACTCACCAAAAACGCTAGCATACAATGAAATTGGTCATTTTTTCATTTTATCTTAGTAACGAAAAACCTCGACAATTAGTCTAGTCGATGTATTTATGAATACTTGACTTTACTCGACTACCTACCCACCTTACTTATGTACATTACTGATATGCTTGAAACAAGTACGATTTCACCTTACTCGGTAAACAGAACGAAGATCAAGGATACAGTGACACACGATAGGCTATTCTAATCCGTTTCTCCCAAGCCCTGGCTAACTAGATCAAGAAGTCTTGATAAGGCTTAGAGAGAATGTATTCTACAAGCACCCAGAAAATACGAGGTCGACAAGCACACAAATCAAGCTTATTTATACCAATGATATAAACGTCCTCCGGATAGCCACAAAAATAGAGTACTAAACAAAATCCATTATCCAATGACAGTCAAGGATTTCTCAAGTGTGAAATCCAAGCTAAAGGTCAATGTTAGGATATTCATCCAATATCCTATGAGAATTATTGGTCAGTTCCTATTGGTTAATTCCTACTGGTCAATTTTATGGTCGTCCTAGATATCAATGTCACGGGCTCCAATGTTGTTTCATATTGGTCGTCCTGACTATCAATGTCACTTCAAATGTTGCTTCCTATAGGTCATCTTAACTGTCAATGTCACAGACTTAGATGCTGTTTCCGATTCGACCTAAAATAATTAACCCACCAATGACAGTCAAGGATTTTCCGAAGAGGGAAAAATGTAAGCTGGAGGTCGACTAAGCGACTTATGCGCGATAACATATATCATTCAAAATTAGGACCTTGTCCAAACTGAGTTCTAGGCATCTAACAGTCCCAACCATTACAAACACACACACACAGACACACCATAAAAATATAATCAATAATACTACTAATAATAGTAACGACAAATTACTCACTTGAATTAAATTGTACTTCCGATAATAAAATCCATGAATCAGTGGATGTTAATGTTAAACTAATATAACGTGCTTTAGAATTAGCCAATGGAATTTGTACAACTAATGCACCATCCCATTCATGATTATTATAAATAATGGTATCTTGTTGTTGATACACATCATTGGATGTTCGTCTGGATCTAGACGATGCTGACGATGGTTGTAGATGATTATTATGATTACTGCTGGCTATGATAGATAATTGTGTTGGATGAATTTGATTGGGATCAATGACACGTGCATGATTAGTGGTGATTTCAATGGATTTATCAAAATGTTTACCATCCATACTGAATTCAACAAGAGCTCGGGCAAAAACACGTGATTTCAATGGGATTGAATCAAAAGTGAATATACGTAACCAGATAAAATTTCGTACTATGTATACAAGTAAAGAATATTGAAGGGGAAAGGAAATAAGTTGTTTTGTTGGAAATATATATATATATATATATTCCAATGGTTATAAAATCAAAGAAACAAAAACTCCTCATTGAAATCATGAAATGAACATCGGTGTTCATTCATGACCCTGTGGGTGAGAATCGAACACAGAACCTCTCAGTCAGTCAGTTAGTTACAACGTAGAATGTCGTACGAAAGTACTTAAGTTCAAATTACCATACCATATTAGCACAGACATATGCAATTGTCAATTCAAATCCCATAATGGTAGAGATAGTAGAAGGATCACTGCTAATGGAGAAGATTAGGGTTCCAAGATATTATTCAAGAAGCATATTTCAGTGAAACAATTTTAAAAAGAGAATGATAGAGGTGATGAGGAATTCAGAAGATTAGAATTTGAGAGTACACAATCAATGAATGCACCTGTCTCATTGCGAAGGGTTTTGAGCCATGTCATTTAAGGTCTCTAACCATTGGTGACTTTCGTCTCGCGGACCCAAACCACGTAGCCCACATCTAGCAATATGACTCAGTCCACTTCTCAGTGACTTCATGGATTTCTGCCATGTTTTGGTTTGGCCACCACTAGCTTTCTTCCAACCTACTCCTACACCACAAAACATAGCTCGTGGAGGCAGTCGGTGGTTGGGCATTTATAACACGTGTCCCAACCACCTTAGCATCCGTCCTCACAGCCATAACAGCACACAGAACCTTTGTTCCCTCATGATCGCCTTACATATTGACCGCTGAGATGGTATTGATATCTAACTTCTACCAATCCTTGATGCTGAGAGGGTATTTCTTGAGGAACCCAGACGGGATATCGTATTGGCGTTGGTCTTATAGACCTAGGAGCGTGACCGCAGAACCAAAGATATAACTACTTGAGGCTAGTCACGTACAGTTTTTTTTATAGGAAGTCAACGTGTTAACTCCGCTCTTCAAAAAGCTTTACCGCTGGAGATGGAAATACGTGAGGTGAGGTGAGGTGTGACATTTTTGTGGTCAAACTTTTCCAACCCATTTCTTCTTTGTGAGAATGTAGCATCGCTGCAGATGCTAGTTGTCTGAGGTAAACACCTTACTGCTGTCACACCCCTTATAGTCAGAAGTACAAGACTCTAAAGTAATGTGAATCCACAAACCAAACAGGGTCCGAACAAACTACTTTCAAAATTTCATACTAAAGTAGTATAGTTTAACCATTCAATTCCAAGAAAGAACAATATATACACAAAAATCACAACAACAACATACCTTCATCAAATTTAAAAATAATACGTAAATCTTTATTTGGAATATTCCAACCAATAAAATGAAAACCTGGTTGAATTGGATTTGAATCTGATTGGTGTGTTGTTACATTGCCCAGATAAGCAATATTATCCATTAATTGACCTAATCCACCGATTAGTCGATTTTCTAATTCAATCAATTGACCATCATATGTTAAATCTTGAAAATTTTGTGGAATATTACTGGTAGTAGTAGAAGTTGTAGCAGTAGAAGAATACAGTGAATTAAATGAGAATAGTCTACCATATGTGATTGTATCACCTTGAGGCATGGAATAAGATAGGACACCATCTGCAAAAAATAGAAAAATTAAATCAGTTCATATGATTTTATATAAACAGGGCAGTGTGTGATATCGGATAGCGAGCGATATGTTGGACTAAATCATGTTAGTAGTAGGTGTGTGGTGCGCGCTACTTATACGAACGATATAAGTAGTATAAGAAGGGACGTGAAAGAAGAAGTCTCACGGTCAGAAGAAGAAAACGGAAAGCAAATGGAGCAAAAGCAAGAATTAAATGGAGTACCAACAGGAAGTAAAGGAAGCAACAACAGGAATGGAAGAAGGATGGAGCGTTGGAAGTCACGACTGTATAGACTATCTGGCTGAGATCCTCAATGCAATAGTAACCGGTGGTTAGAGACTTTGAATGATATGGCTTAATAGCGAGTTGTAGCTATGTATGTACCGGCAAAATAACCAAGTTAAATCCCTTGCCAGCCAAATATTATAAGTCCAGTTGTAATTGGAGGTCGAGGTATGGTTTGTTACTGATCTCGTGATATCGAAAAAATATCAAGATCCGAGCGACCGTTGTTGATGAGACTACCGAGGCAATGTGAACAATGTCCGTCGTGTCATGTGAGCAGGAAGATAATGGTTTTTGGTACAGATAAACAAAAGAGTACAGTAAAACAATCACTGATACAATTGGTTACAATAACAAAATGTTTTTATTTCACCAATCGTGTTCTCTGCATAAAAGTGTTCCACTACAGGCTAAAGATCGTTTGCAACGGTTCAGATGCATCCATTCTTTATGTTCTCACAAATTCTAATTTTCCCAATTCCTCATGACCTTTTTACCCCTTTTAAATTTATTTCGCTGTGATATACCGTCCAAATCATGTCTTCGACGTATAATCTTTCCCATTACCATTAATACATCTAGAACCTCTACTACTATCGGATTTGAACTGACAATTTTATCTCTGTGTGCTATTATGGTATGGCAACTTGAAATAATGTATGTACACACGACGAGATATGTGCTAACCACCGAAAACTGACTAGTTAAGAGAGAAAGTAAGAGCGGAAGAGAAAGTTTATTTGGCTACCAAATCATAAGTAAAAATATACTCGATTTCACAGCCTTAGAAAATGAAACAATTTATTGACCAATGAAAGGTGTCCGACCTTTTGGACATTTTCTGATGGTCATCAAATGACCTTCTCATTTGGTCACTTCTGATTGGTTCCTTATATCAAAATATCAAAACACTTTTAATAAGTAGAAGTGATGAATATGCTATTTGAATGATCTGTAATCTCAAAAGACGCCCGTTTCGTCTTGATATGGGACTCATCAACAGTGCGCATCCAGGACTCCCGCTACTCGCAGGATACGGACTTAGGACCTTCGGTCTTGTGGATGAACGCTTAAGCTGAATATTATTTATACGCTTATCATAATATACATATTTTATTACACATTGTAAAAACTTTTCACTCTCTTCTTCTCATTCCCCCTAACTTAATTATTTTATAAAATTCCATAAGTATTCCTCAATATATGTCAGTTAATTATTTCATATAAAATAGTTATCTGATTAAAATTTACAAAATCTCATTTTGTTTAATTAGAAAAGAAAAAATAATTGAGAAAAAGTCTACACAAGTTTGATTTAATTGAAACAAGAATAATTTTACTAATTAGTAATGAAATTAGAATAAATATTCATATTTCTTAATAATCTATGCATCGCGTAATTGGAACAATTGAACGAGTGAGAAAACGAAACATTAAAAAAAAACAGATCGGAGCAATTTGATTGGTTGAAAATTGCGTACAATGTTCATTGTTCAATATTAATTAATAATATGTTTTCCTAATTAACTAAAACACAGTGTGATTAGAATTTGTTATCCAAAAATATGAATATATATTCCTTTGAGGGTTAGTTACATTAGGTGTATCTCAAAAGTTTCAGTATCCTTACACGCTCATCAACATACATGGAAATGATTATGAAAATGTGTTAGGAAAAATCTGTATTTTGTTTTAGTTAAATACATATTCATCGGTATAAAATGGCACTCAAATATATAGAAGCAGACAGACACAACGCAGAACTTCGTACTTCAGTACATCAGTCCAGGTTGCCATAACACATCAGCACAGAGACGCAAATGTCAATCGAAAACACATTGTGGCAGCGATAGTAGAAGTATTAACAGTAAAGGAGAAGATTAGGGAGAGAATATATGATTCAAGAAGTATAATTCAGTGAGATAAATTTAGAAGGAGAAAGATTGAGATGATGAGGAATTCAGAAGGTTAGAATTAGAGAGAGCACAAAGAGTGGATGCACCTGCACAATTGCAAACGATTCTGAGCCATGTCGTTCAAGGTCTCTAACCATCGGTGACTATCGTCTCGCGGATCCCAACCACGTAGCCTACTTCTACCAACATAACTCAGTCCACTTGTCAATGACTTCATGGATTTCTGACATGTTTTGGTTTGTCCGCCCGTAGCTTTCTTCCAACCTACTCCTACACCACAAAACATAGCTCGTCGAGGCAGTCAGTGGTTAGGCATACGTAACACATGTCCTAACCACCTCAACTGATGAAGTTTCACTATTTCATCTATTGATTTACCATCCCTACTTAGAACTCATTTCCTAACGACAGCATTGCTTAAACGGTTGTCCAATATATTGAAGCATCATATAAAAGTTATTGCGTTTGAGTGGGATGGCATACTGTTTGGATGATCAAATCGAAGCAGATGGTTTTGACAGGGGCGGCTCACACCTCAAGTATTTAGCCCAAAGGTGTAATCTACATGATAATGGAGCAACGTCGGTCAGAAAATATATCCCTATGGTAGCTAGTCACAAACATGACCTCATTGTTAAAATACATATTACAATGAATTCATTTAACTGAAATCATAAACGGATCAATTGAAAAAGATGATCGTGCAATGTCAAGGAATGAAATCGTTGTATTTCACAGCTCAGTAGTCTAGAGATTAAGTTTTCTCACTCAAGGGTGAGCAATGTTGAGGAATTCCATACTAGGGAAAAAATTGTCATTATCCAATGTGCTTCTGAGTTTCGCTAGCAGTGGTCTAACACTGATATGTTTTATAGTTTACGCAAAAACTAAAAGCGTTGAATAGAATATGCTCAATGAGCAAACTTTTTAAGAATAACTTCAACTTCATAACAATTCTATAATTAGTTACATGAAATAATAATCATTCAAATTTTATTATTACTAATGTTATTGAAAATATAGTCCCTTCAGTTTTTGAATTATGAAGACAAAAACTAATGTATGCAAATGCATTAATGTAATATATAGGTCAGATTATGTATACAGCTCTTTAAGACATAAAATCTTGTATATGTTTGATACGCTCGCCAAATTGATATGCTTGAATGCCATGACGAGTTCATCTTACTCAGTAAACGGAGAGCTGATCAATGACTCAGTAACACACGATAGGCTATTCTAATCTGTTGTCCCAGCCCCGGAGTAGGAAGTGCATTCTACAAGCACCTGGAGAGTACGAGATAGCTAAGCACACAAATCAAGCTTATTTATACCAATGATCGAAATGTCCTTGGGAGGGCCACAAAGATAGCGTACTAAACAAAATCCATCAACCAATGACAGTCGAGGATTTTCCGAGTGGGAAATACAAGTTCACAAGGTCAACTAGACAACTTATGCGCGAAAATCAGGACCTTTTCCAAATGAGCTCTAGGCATCTAACATCCCTAATAATCTTTTTCTCTACAAAGATTTTATAGTCTTTTAACATTAAAAAAATCTAACAAAATTTTATAAATTGAGAATTAATGGACCTGAATTCAAATTATTAGTCACACAGTTCAAACTAACCAATCAATCAATCATTTGATGGACTGATATGAATGAATTATTGACTAAGTGGCGAAATTTAACACCTGATGATGTTTGGTTAAAATTCAAATGTGTGTGTATGTACATGTGTATGTCTGTTTGGCAGTATGTGTGTGTGTGGTTGTCTATGACTGTGTGTCTATAATTGATTGGAATGACTCATTCATTCATTCATTCATCAAACGAAATACATGATGATGAGTTTTAATAAAATAATATCGATAGTCAAAAGAGAGAAATAAAATGATTGAAGTGGTAAAAGTAATAAACGAGAGAGTTGAAGCATTAAAACATGTAGCGTAAATCATGTACAACTATTGATCAATTGAATCGAGAGAAAGAGAGAGAAAAATACTCCGAGAGTAACGCATTTTAAAAATTATATAGATAGATAAAATAGATAAATAGATAATCATGTTAACAATAATAACACGAGAAATTTCAATCACTTTTCGTGATAAAAAATAATATTCCATGAAAAAAAAAATTTTTGAATAAAATAATCATTACTCATTTGTAAATATTGATGAAAAGAATGTAGAGAAGAAAAAAAAGATAGAAACAACAGTAATAATAATTAGCATTAAAAGCAAGTGGGATTATTCACTGCGTCATGGAATTGTTGTTATTGATAAATCGATACAATTAGCAATTCAAAGAGATTGATCAACGTTAAACACTGACACTGTTGAATGCCGGGTCATCATCTTGATTGTGTGTTAGTTAACAGGTTAAGCATTCGCACACGAGGCCCGGTTTCGGGTTCGATTCCTGAGCAGTCTCATACTGAGATGAAACAACCGTCCAGTGCTTTCAGGTTTCTAATGGTAGTCTAATAATGATTGATTGATGGTTTCAATGTATGACAGTCAGCTGTTTTCCTAGTTAAAGCTACGAACTGATCAGTTATTTTAATCTTGGTGTGACACTGCTCCTAACCAGTGCTTACCTTCGACTTTGTTGTGCTGTAGTGAAGGAGAACACAGGTGAGGACAACCGAATTGTATTTAACGAAAATTACAGAGTTACTCAGTAAAATAGGAAAACCATAATATCGTAACCGTTAATTTGCAAATCTTCAATCCATCATCAATCCATTGTCTGACATTTCACTGTTCATGCGTTTCATACACATTCCACTGTGTTCTAACTCTTCCTTTCTTGATCTTCCCTCATCTTCTGATGCCAGACATTACGATTACACTCGCGTCATATACTACTTATAAGTAGCGCGCACCACAGTGCTACAAGCAAATGAAACAAGGATCTTTGATCTGGCACGCATGAATGGTTAACTTTTAAACCAATGAGTTGATACACAATGAGTTCATACAAAACAAGCCCTAACTCCTGGAATATTCAAGGTCAAAGAAAAAGAGGATGACCAAAGAACACACTATGCTGAGAATTCGAAGTAGACAAGAAAACAATAAACAGCAATTGGATAAAATTGAAAAAGGCTCAAGACACAGTAGATTGAGGAATGCTGATCGGTAGCCTATGCATTACTGAGGGCAACAATCCTAAGTAAATAAGTAAGTAAGTAAACATAATGAGTTTATATGTGTGCATGTGAAGTACAAGTTGATCATAATTATAATTGAAACAGCCAACCCCATATACTCCACTTACTCACCTGGAAAATCACATCCATACAATGCAAATCGTAAACAAACTTGTTGTTTTGATCGATGACTATACGGATAAATACGTATACGTTTAGCAATCACCACTGAATCAAGTGTTGTTCTAGCAATATTTCTTGGATCATTATTAGCTTTAAGGACCTTCAAAAAATAAAAATTAAAAGAGAAAAACAGATGAACTCTGTGTTTATTTCAATTAAATCATTGAATAAATATTAACATTTTTGTGTAAATGTACTAATATACAATTCAATTTTGTCTATATGACATATACTACTTATTTATATATATATGTAGTGTGTTGATAATTTATACAAACATTTACAATTATATAAATTAACCTTCTATTTTTCAATTTTAGAGTTATGGAGATTAGTGTTTGTTGCACAGTAAAATTACCAGCCAATCAGTGATTGTGAGACCCCCATTAGAAACCTGGAAACACTGGACGGTCGTTTTGTGGTCCTGTTAGGGGACTCATCAATGGCAGTGCGAATCCACAAGACCTGCACCTCACAGGATTCGAACCCAAGAACTTCAGTCTTGCACGCAAACGCCTAACCTCTGGACCACTGAGCTGGCCAGCATCCAACGGTGTTGATGTCTAACTTTGACTGATCTAGAGATTTTGCTCGATCTCACCCATTTGTCTTTGATAGTTACTGCCTACATTCAACAGAGTTCAACTCCACTGGTCGGTCACGTTTTCTCATTAGAACTCTGAGAACTACCTCATGAAGCTAGTCACTAGTGAGTTATGGAGATTAGTGTCAGTTGCACATCTGAAATCATCAATCAATCCTTGTTAAACCACCATCATACCAGGAAAAAACGGCTGTCAAGTGCTTCCAGGTTTCTAATAGTGGTCTAACAATGATTTAATGATGATTTCAATGTGTAACCCCCTCTATAGTCAAGAGTAATTTACATTAGTTTTAAGGACAATCAAGAAGACTACTGCCCATGTGTTAACATTTCAACATGAACAGTTCGGCTCAAACCACATAGGTAGGTAGGTACCTGACACCATAGTATGAAGTAAAATTCACAAACATCACATGGGATATGATGTAAATTCAGTTTCGTGATGGATTTTCGTTCTCTGAATTGAATTTTTTTTAGTTGTGGAGCCTTTCATGGTTTTGAACAACATTATCAGCACTTAAATTCAAGTTGACAGAAGTGAAGTATTCGATTTTTTCCACGTAGT